TGGTTGTGAGTTGGAACCATAACATAGTATATCTTCTAATTGTAACCCTATTTATGTTATGTTCTCCAGGCTGTTGAGGAAACTATCAGTGACTCAGTTGTTCTCACCGCAGCGTGTCGAGGCCACAAAACCTCTGAGGATGAAGAAGATGCAAGAGCTTNTCAACTTCATGAATGAAAGCTGTGAGAGAGAAGAAGTTGTTGATATTTCTCNTGCATCCTTCGTCACAGCCCTCAATATCATTTCGAATGTTCTGTTTTCAGTAGACTTCGGTAACTACGACTCGAGGAAGTCCAGTGTCTTTCAGGACATGGTGACTGGTGTCATGGACTCTATCGGAGAGCCAGACCTTGCTAACTATTTCCCATTTATGAGGTTTCTTGACCTGCAAGGTAATAGAAAGAAGATGAAGGACTGCTCGGAGAAGTTGTTTAGGGTTTTCCGAGGGATTTATGATGCTCGGATCAAGGAAAACTCATCTCGGACAAACGATAAGGATGTTTTGAGCCGCGATTTCGTGGATGCGCTTATTGATCTCAATCAGGGAGATGAAGCAGAACTCAACATTCTCGAGATTGAACACCTTCTCCTCGTAAGTCGTCTTAATTAGCTTAGATTGCCTAATATGATCATACTGATAGAAATCGAACATAACCATGATCAAGATTGATGATAATCAACTAGGTGCAAATTAGTTTTGAGATACAAACTTCTGCCAGTCTTCATATTCCAGCTCACCAATTCGATCGATACAATCAAAGTTTATGGCATGTGTTAATCTACTATTTTTACACATGTATATGACCTCAATTATCTTTTTGTTTTTTGTTACGTTTAATTTTACATGTGTACAGGTTATCTTTTTTTTTTTTTTTGNTNTNTTAAGGAGATCATAATATTTTGTGGTCGAACAAAACACTTCTGAAAATTATACATGCAAACCGAAAAAAACTCTGTTTTATGGGAAATATACCTTTTTAAACGTGGGTTTTTTTAAAATAAAAAACATATAAAATGAAGTACAAATTTATGTGTTTGATATAATCGGAAATCTATATTATATGTCAAAGTTTAACGATGTAATATGTGCTTATATGTATCAGGACCTGTTTGCAGCCGGCACGGACACAAACTCTAGTACCGTGGAATGGGCATTGGCAGAATTACTTCGAAACCCAAAGAAGATGACGAAAGTTCAAGAAGAGATCGATCGTGTGATAGGCCTAAACGGCGTGCAAGAGTCCGATATCTCGGAATTGCCATATTTACAAGCTGTAGTTAAAGAAACATTCCGTTTGCATCCAGCTGCTCCACTTCTCCTCCCGCGAAAAGCGGAAATCGACGTGGAGATTCTAGGATTTCTTGTGCCTAAAAACACTCAGGTTGTTGTGAACGTGTGGGCCGTTGGACGAGACCCGGGTACGTGGGAGAATCCGGACCGGTTCGAGCCAGAGAGGTTTTTAGGGAAAGAGATTGATGTGAAAGGTAGAAATTATGAGCTTACACCGTTTGGAGCCGGACGGAGACTTTGTCCGGGATTGCCTTTGGCTGTGAAGACAGTGCCTCTCATGCTTGCTTCTCTTCTTTATTCCTTTGACTGGAAGCTCCCGAACGGCGTCGTTTCTGAGGATTTGGACATGGACGAGAGCTTTGGTCTCACATTGCATAAGACTAATCCGTTACATGCCGTTCCTGTCAAGAAACGCGTCATTAATTAACATTGTTAGACCACATCCATTGAGAGGTTATTACAAGAGTTTTCAACAC